TCCGCCTTCTATTCAATTACCTGGGCCTCGCATATTTTCGACTATTGAGATTTCTAATTATGAAATGTTTTACGATCTTAAGGTGTACATTCAAAATACATCGTATACATGAATTTATAAATACTGCCTATAATGCATACAGCATGGTCCACATCTACTGCAAAATTTTATGAGAACTATGTGACTTCTTCCTCAAACAGTAGGCAAAAGCGTACTTTGCCTTAAACAAGATGTACACAGCGCGCAGCTTGTAAATCTTGAATTCAGGTGTAGCAGTCAGCAGCTTTTAAAATTCTTCGGCAATTAAGAAATTTTTTTAAATTGAAAGACGCCCCTTCTTTTTGCTTATGCTTTTTATGAAATATATTTGTATTTATAAAGGCAGTCAAGATCAATGATAAAAAATGCGTATTACCTAAGTAGCCATGTGTTACGATACATACTTTTTGTTAGTGGGCAGAAAGAATCGCATTAGAAAGCCAGCATCATATCGTGACTGAAATGACTTGAGAATACGCTACACGGCAAGCATTATTACAACCTTACTCAATGCCGATTAACGAGTGAGTATCAATCTTTCCCAAGTGACGGCATGTGGCATGAATTCTGAGCCGTACTGTAGGCATTTTAGGTCGTGTGTGGTACACGTAAATTGACCCTTCAGTACGACCAGTCACAATGTCCAATCTCACCATCACTTTTACTGATATGCTCAGAAAGTCGATTGGTGCATGGAAGAGGCAAACAAAAGGAGTAAAACCGGCGCTGTGAATGCATGTTGGTGCGTTTGCATCTATCCGGACATGCTAAAAGTCGTGCCTGAGAATAATGTCAATCCACGCGATAATTGGCTCTCTAAGATGAGCATAGTAGCGTGCCCGGAGACCTCAGATTCAGGCTGCACCGACTCCTTTTCAATATGACCTTGATTGCATTCTCAGCTGCGTACGGTGCATCTATCGTGAGGACTAGTTCGTGGGTGACACGCTATTGCGATGTGACACTTTCATGGCGCTAGAGCAGTACCTAATTGCCTATTGGTTTCCTTAATTTTAAACAGAAGATAGGCGTGTGGACTTTAGCCAGTGGGTGATCCGACGTCATCACGTCGTTAGAAATTCCGATGTTTTCGGATGGTACCTTGCGCTATTGCAGACACTTAGTTTGTAAAAAGCAAAACTCGGTACCTAGATTACCACTGGCTAACCAGCCAAAATTCGAGGCTTGGAAGGTTGCCAAATGACGAGCTAATTATCTCATACGATGAGTATCGAAGAGTGACTGAAGAACTGAGATTCAGGCTGTACCGACTCCTCAATGCGGTCTTGATTGAAGTGAGGTCAAAACTTCCCTTTCCGTATACTGGTTAATCTAGCCAAAGAACTAGTTTGTGTGTGACATGTGAAGACATGTGTGAAGTGCACTGCCTCCGCACTCGACCTTGGTTGTCTAGACACTGCCCAGGCACTAGAACAAGTAGGAAAGTGACACAGAGAGAGTGCGGTAGACACCGTGCAAGTCCGACTCTTTATAACCTAATTCACGCGCGATGCAATGTTTCCGAGACCAATCCGTTGTACAAGTGGTGGGCGTCCTCGCTTACGATGAAGAAATTTCATATAATCTATCATAGGCGAACATTTTTTAATTGAGACAGCATTATCTAGGTCCGTACGTAACCCTTTATCCCACAGGCATCAGAGATACAAGCCAGCTATTAATATCAAGTACCGGTGTGCGCACATAGCCCCTCGAATCTAATTATCTACTACAATTTCTACATTAATTTCTGGGAGAAATAAAAAGCTGCGATCTATTCCTACTGCCCAATAGATATAATAAATTGGTTCATTAAAACGATACGATCGAAAAGTTTGAATTCATCCCCAGACGATGAATAGGCGAGGAATGCTTATGTGGCCTCCCAAACAGGACACGTTAATTCGTTTTAGGTTATAGGAGAGTTACATTACTTTACTTTCTCCCTGGTGTCAAAACCGAGTTAGGAAGACCGGAGGCGTGATAATGCGCAAGTGGTGGGCGCAGCCTGAGCCAGCACCTACGCGTACCACCACACTCCCTCCACCGGCTTTAGTTGTGGGAGTGCATCCCAAATAACGCCTGTTTTGTCCCGACTTAGCCCCCGCGTTGGTCCAGTGAATCTACCGCGCGGCCCGTTTAAGGAGCCCCCTAGCCCCAACACTAGCTCTGCCGAAAACCTAAACAGGAACGGTAAGCTTAATCCTAGACCTACCCTAACCAGCAATCAAGTACTTATCATCAACTTAACCCAAATTTACTCTAACGTTAACCTTAGCTTAAACCCTGACCCTAACCATGAATCTAACCCTATTCTCCCAGCAATTTGGAGCAAAGCCACCTGTATTGTGGACGATTCCGTACTCATGTCCTGCTTAGGTTTCACTATAAGTTACCCTTACACATGAATTTAGCAAAACTAGCTTCTGTTTAGTATCCAATAAAAAATCAGCAACTTTTTTTGTAAATAAGAATTGTTTCAATTCATTGAATTTTCCTCTCTGAACAAATGCATCTAGTTGATGATTAAAGACAAAAAGTAACCAAGAAAACTCCATCACCCTTCATAGTTTTTTTGTGCGCGGTTCAACAGAAATACGCAGCCTCAACCTGCCCAGGGCCTTTAAAGAGGAAATATTTACTTTTGAAAGATGTTTTTCAACTTTCTTCAGCATATTTCAATTTTGAAACGTTGTTCACCTGAGAATCCGAAGCATCAAGCTAATCAATTGCTTGTCCGACCGATCGTATTTTACTTTTTCTGATCTGCTTCCTGGCAGTCGCCCATTCGCTTCTGTCGGCAGCTAAATGAATATCACTAAATGCCGTTCTAAGAAGGAATTGCTGCAGTCTGATCCACTTCTGAGAAGAAGCAGATTTTTTAATCATCTTACAATCTTTCAAGTTAAGACTGATAGCACGTCGCAGAATTTTCAACTGCCTCATTCATTATAGCGGGAAAGTGTGTTGTGGAAATGTAATAAAGTAGATCACTCCAGTCCATCGGCATCATTTTTCAAACCCTCCCTCCCCTCCACGCGCCAGCGATCTACTGTGGCCTGTCGGTCGACGAGCTTGGGCAGGGTAATTGCTGATCACTGCATAATGCGTGCTACGCTCCTATATGACAACGGTTAAGACCTCGTTCAGACTTAACGTAGCCCAGCTAAGGCCAAACGCAACAACAGCAAAGGCTCCGTTCTGATGTCGCGATAAACTGTCAGCGCGCATGCAATATGCAACTGGCAACTATGACGTCAGTAAATGCACCTAATCTCGTTTCCAGTATGTTTGACATTCAAAAAGTATAATGAGTGTAGGTGGTAAAAATGACCTTATTGCTATTTTAATTTAATTATGCAGTTATCACCAATGCTGCTTCTCCGGCTAGGTAGTCCGTGTTGGCTCTGGTGTAAGAACTATCCACCTGCTGTCAAAATACGGTTAAATAACCTTTATTTTGACATATAACCGTATAAAGATCACGTGTCCAGCACGCAGAATTTCTCACTAATTAGTGTACTTTTTCCCGCTATCCTACGCATCTGCAAGACCTTAAACCTATCGACATGTCCGCTTAGTTGTAAATCAGTATGCTGTTGTTTCCGTAGAGCCTTTCTGGGCTCCAACTTTTATGAATCATGTACCTTGTATTCTGCCCGATTGTTATACCTCGAACTTGTGCTGTAGGCCCTGATTCTAGTGCTTTTGTTACAAGGAAAACTACTACTCTTAGATAACAAACTAAAGGAGCAACTAACTAGCACCGTTTCATATTCATTTTGTGTCTGGATTTTCGGACTCACAGTCAAGGACAAACTTATTCGGTTCAGACTCCTGTGATATAAGGGTCCTCGTATATACACGCCAATGAATTTGAGTGTGTCCGTTGCGCCACTTCTCTGCGCTGAAAGCGTTCTTTTACTTGAATATACGGTCAAATTTCAAAGTTTGACCATTGACATCGAAGACGTCTTTTTAAAAATCTAATATCTCTTGTCGTTTCCCGTCATAACTCTCCATTTCAGAAGACAAAAACACCATCAGTTTTTAAAATAAGGGGTTAATTTTTACTGTACTTATTCAATATTCTAGTCTTGGCTAATTTTTGACA